TTTTTTACATTGGTTTGGCTACCCATTTTCATGAATTACTTATTCTGCATGTGTAATCATATAGAACCATACAATGGCTCAATAAAAGTCATGATCAGTAAATTGGTCTGATGCAACTGGTTCCATTACCAAGCTTGTCTTTGAAATTCAAGTTATTGATATAGCACTGCTGTGTGCTCATGAATTAGGTAAAATCAGGGGAGTTTGACTTAGTTGCACCTTTCAAGGACTAAACTAATCCTCGCGCCTTTGCTTAATTTATTCTCTTTTGCCTGATATAAATTATGACCTCACCCACTTCGTTACTGTAAATCCAACTTTTATCTGTCCTTCTTAAAGCTTTACCTCCTGGTCTCTTCATCTTCCAACAACAAAAAACAAGCTGAAGGCTATTTTTTTACTCCCTTGATTTTATTAATTAGATTTTCAGACTCCTCTGGCATTTATCACATTCTCTCTCATAGTGTTTATTATAGCATGTCTTTATTGCCTATATCAGACTCTAAGCTATTTGCCATTACTCTAAGGTATTTGCCATTTTAATTATGATGGGTCCTGGTGTGGGCCTCTTTGAGTTCATCTTGTTTGGGACTCAGCACTTCCTGGACTTGTGTGTCTTTTTCCTTCACCAGGTTAGGGAAGTTTTCAGTCATTAGTTCTTCAAATAGGTTTTTGATCCCTTGCTCTCTCTCTCTTCTCCTTATGGTACCCTGTGATGCAGATATGCTACGCCTCACGATGTCCCAAAGGTCCCTTAAGCTATCCTCATTTTTTGAAATTCTTCTTTCTCACCTTCTCCAGGTGGCTCAGTTGGTTGGAGCATCACCCTGTACACCAAAAGACTGTAGGTTCGATTCCCGGTCAGGGTACATACCTAGATTGCAAGTTCAATACCTGGATGGGGCACGTACGGGAGGCAACGGATTTATTCCCCCCCCCCCACTTTCTCTCTCTAAAATCAATAAAACATATCCTCAGATAAGAATTAATATTTTTCTTTTTGATGTTCTGACTGTTTTCTGCTACCTTGTCTTCCAAATCACTGATTCTATCCTCTGCTTCATTCAATCTACTGTTGTATTTCTTCTGGCGAATTCTTCACTTCAAATATTACATTCTTCATTTCTGACTGATCCATTTCTATGTCCTATTTTTATGCTGTTGTAGTTCTAAGTTCCTTGAATATCCTTATGACCATTTTTTAACTCTGTATCTAATTAAGTTGCTTGTCTCCACTTCATTTAGCTCTTTCTCCAGAGATTTTTTTCTGTTCTTTCATTTGGAACATGTTTCTTTGTCTCACTATTTTGGCTGCCTCTTTATGTCTGTTTCTATGTATTGGATAGATCTGCTATGCCTCCCAGTCTCGGAAGGGTGGCCTTATGTAGTAGGTGTCCTGTATGACCCAATGGCATAGTTTCCTGATCACCTGGGCTGAGTGCTCCACAAATGTCCCTCGTGTGGGTTATGTGGGCCCTCTTGTTGTAATTGAGTCTTGATTGCTCTTGACTCATTTGTGTGTGGGGTCAACCCTCAGGCTGGCTGACTGTGAAGATAAGCCCTGTCCACAGTGTACGAGCTACTGTGCAAGGGGTGCTGACCACATGAAGCGGAATTTGCCTCAGCAGGGTCTGGGGCCTGCTGTGATCTCCCTTCAGATATGCCACGTGTGAAGCTAATTGCATCCTGGTCCGAAGGTGGCCACTGGGTGTGTTGGTTCTTGGGCCTCTTGGGAGGGACTCTGGTGCAGCCCAGTGTCAGATCCTGCCTGTGACTGGCTCTCGGCAACCTGTTTGGAGCTACAAAGTGATTCACAGTTTGTGGCTGCCTCTGCTGGGCCTGGGTGAGTGTGGGAAGGGCCAGGCTGTGCACCAAGGCTGGCTTTTACCTGCACTGGGCCCAGAAGCAGGTCAGCTAAAGTTCCAAGGCATCCCAAGATCTGCCTCTGCCTGCTGGCTGCTGGTTAGGCTCAGTCACTGGTGGTACTCAAGTTGCATGAGGTAGGTTACCAGTGAGTCACCAGGTCGGGGCAAGTTTGATACAGCTTCTACAGATTGACACAGGTTCAAACTTGGTGCCAGAGCTGGGTCTGAGGCTGGCAAATGTCCCAGCGTATGCCAAGTCTAGCTGCCCCCCTCAGGGTGCTTGCACACCTTTGTGGTATGGTGGGGTGAGGGTGGGGGGTCTCAGGGAGTCATCAGGGTGAGGCCAGCAGTTTATCAGGCCAGACAGACCAAGAGTTGAGAAAGGAGGGCTCTGCACCAGTCAGGGATGCGAGGGAAAGATGGCCCTGTTCTAGAGCCACACACTCAGTCTGTCCCAGATTCTGCCAGGAGCCTGACCTCAGGTTAGGTGGAAGGTGCACCTCTTGTGAGGGGGAGGTGCCAGTCAGCTTCACGGGAAAGTGGGAGGAATGGCCTGTCCCGAAGCCACACAACCCAGTCACTGATACCCTGAGTCTGCCTAGACCTCTACACCCTAACCCAGGCAGCTGACTCATCAGCAGAGCGCAAGCAAGCTCCACAGGGTGAGGCAAAAGGGAGTCCAGAGGGTGGGGCTACTGCATTCCCCCAGGCTGATGCTGTATGGAGGGGAGTGCCCCGCCAAGAAAGATGGAGTAGGCGGGGTGGGAGAGTGACTCAGCACAGGGATCCTGACAGCTCTCTCCGCAGAGCCACAATCCCAGTCTCTCCTCATGCAATTCTAGTCTATTCCACCCTCTGCCAGAGCCCAGGGTGAATGGCTACAAAGATTTTGTCTGTTGGCCCTTTAATAGGGTGCCTGTCTAGCAGACTCCTCTCTCTCCCCAGCAGACAGAATCCCTGCTGCTTTTCACAGCCAGATGTTATGTGGGCGTCTCTTCCTGGCTCTGGGGCTCTGGCCTGGGGAGCCTGGCTTGGGGTTGAAGTCCCACTCTTCTTAGGGGGAACCTTCGTAGCTGGGATCTCCCTCCAGAATCTTAGTTCCCACGCGTGGGAGCAGGGCCAGCCTTTTTCACGTCTCTCCCCTTCCTACTAGCCTTGATATGGCTTCTGTAAATCCTTGATTAGAAGACTTCTCTTCAGCTAGTCTTTGGTTGGTTATTCAGGTTCGTTGCTCTACATTTTAGTTGTAATTCCAGGTTTCCTGGGTGGAGGTAAGTGTAGCTTCCACCTACACCACCATCATCTTGAAAGTCCTCAAACTCTAAGGTATTTGAAGTCAAAGACATTTATCCTGTCTCCAAAAAGAGGCAATGTGGGTTAACAGTTAAGATCCCAGGCTTAGCAGTTGTGATTTCTTGGGTATCAACTTCAGTGCCTTCATCTGAAAATGATAATAGCACCGACCTCATAAATTTGTTGAGGCATCATCAGAGAATGCATGTCAAGTTGCCTGGCTCTTAATTATTTGATAATTGCTAACTATCATTTGTACTCCCTACAAGCCTTACTATATACTAGTATACACAGGCTTTCAATGATTGTTGGTAGAGTTTATGCTAATACATCCATGCCTAGTAATACATGGGCGTTGTGTCTGGAGGACGAACATGATTGTGACCCAGCAGCCCTAAGAAAGGCTTGGACTACCTACCTAGGGCCAGTTCCCCTGCTTTATCTCCCAGATCATGCCGTCCAATCCAATCTTCTGCGATGCTGGCCATGTACCAGCATCCGAGCTGTCCAATAACGTAGCCATTACCTACATGTGGTCATTGAGGGCTTGAAATGTGACCAGTGTATCTAAGCAGCTTATTCCTCCCCCCCCTTTTTAATTAGCTCAATACCCTCCAAAGATTAGCATTACCCTATTGGACAGGGCAGCTCTAGAACTTGCCGCCTGTCTGTCTGTTTAAATCGTGTCCCCTCCTTTTCACCAGTAAAGGAATATTTTCTAAATGAATAAGCAATGCTGATTCAAAGCATCACTTCAACCCCCTTTATTCTTTTTTAAAAAAATTTTTTTTATTGATTTCCTACTAGTCTTGATATGGCAAATCCTTACAGAGAGGACGGGAGAGGGTTAGAGAGAAACTTCAATGATGGGAGAAATTCACTGATGGGCTGCCTCCTGTACGCCCCCTACTGGGGACGAGTCTGCAACGCAGGCGTGCGCCCTCGGCCGGAAACGAACCGGGACCCTCAGTCTGCGGGCCGATGCTCTACCCACTGTGCAACCGGCGAGGGCCACCCCTTTTAGTCTTTGGCGAGTGCAGTGTCTGCATTCTGTCGCTTCACCGAGAGCTGGACGGAGGACAGTGTCCCGAGACAAAGTAACTTACACACCAAGTGACATGGAATCACCCAACAGGAATGCGGTGCGTCCCCGCCTGGTCTGCGGGGTGGTGGGGAAGGTAACCGACCGCCCGGACAGGCGTGGCAAACACGTGAGCGGCGCAGGGCGGTCGGGCACGCCTCCGCCGGCAGAGGGGGCGGGAGGCTGGCCGCATGTCCTCCCACGCGGGGCGCCGCCACCCGGGGCGCGCGTGCCAGTCAGCATGGCCTGTCCCGGCTCCCAACCCTGGCGGTGTCCCGGCGTACAGAACGAGAGCCAACCTCCACCCGCTCCCGCAGGAGAATCGTGCCTCCTGCCGTGTCTGCCAGAAACTTCTCCCAACCTTGCCCGATACCGCACCCCAGCCGCTCGGGGCTCAAGCTCCCCCGTACAAAATGGCGACGGGGCCTGGGAAGAAGCCATAGAGACGCCCGCCCTCCGCGGAGAGAGCGCCGGCCTCTTCGGGACGTCCGCGCCCCCTGAGAGGCTGGAGGGGCTCGCGTTCCGGCGGAGGCGGGGACAGGGTGCGCCTCGAAGGGCCCCTCTAGGAGGACAGCCAGCAGTCTCTATGGTGCCGGGTCATCCGAGCTGGTCACGTGGCTGGCGGAGGCGGCCGCGGAGGCGGGGGGAGGAGAAAGGGGCGGGAGCCGAGGGGATTGCTCCAGACCCGGCGACGACTGGGTTGTCATGGAGCCGCGGGCCCGTGCCGGCGCATGCGCCACCTGACCCGCAGGCTGTGCTTGGAGTGGCGACCCCGACCCCGGCCCGAGGTGAGGAAGGGAGGACGGGGAGGACGGGGCGCACGGGGAGAGGGTTTGGGCGGGGAGCGTGGGAAAGGAGGTGGGAGTAGGGGCAAGAAGAAGGGTCGCCGGGTAGGCAAGAGGGAGAATCAAGACTTCAGGGGGTCAGACAGAGGCCCAAATGGTGGGAGCAGAGGGCGTGCGTCCCTCCTCCAGTTCGTTGGTGGGTTTAGTTTTGAGGGGCGGGCTTTGGTGGGAAAGGGAGTCAAGGGCGAGGAGGGGGCGGAGTACCGAGAGGGGGCTGGTGTGGGGTGCCAGTGGGGTGAGACCCTTAGGGCCGGGGT